AGGTTGTATGGCCAACACAGTTGCTTCTTCAACATATATCTCCATGGTATGCATAGCAAGATTCGTGATCAAGGTCCACATCACCGTAACGACTTCGTCGTCAGCAAGAGGCATCAACATGTATGATCCACCATGAACGGGATATTTAACTTTCAAATCCAACTTGTTCATACGATTGATGGATGTGGCGGTATAGATTTTATTCATTAGCTCAACCACACCCACCCACAGGAAACAACAATTATCGATCTTCCTACCCCCCCTTCATAACAAATTCCGTTCGACTCCTCGATTATATTTCCTCCCCAATGACACACAATGGGGAAGTTTGGAGACATATTCTATCAAAAATCATTCCAAAAAAATGATATATGTCGCACATTGAAAATTCAACTACTAATTCAAAGAAACTGTATTAAATCATATGTATCATTTTTAAGATTTCATTCAATTACAAAATCTGATAGATACACATTAATGATGTGCTACATTACTTTTTTCCAAACTACCCGTATATCAAACTCAATCCAACCAACACATTACAAAATTCTCGCCTCTCTTTGGGTAATAAATGGTTGGTGAGCGAAGGAGGAGGGAGAAGAGATCAAGTGGGGCTGCAAAGAAACTTTTCAGATGAAAGGGAACATGGGAAGAATTACTCAAAGGATAAGGCCCAGGCGGAAGAGGATGAAGCAAATCTAGAGGATACAAGAGGGAGCGGGATGGGAGAATAGAAAAGGAGGCAGACCTGGGAGATTTACAAACTAGAGAAGGAGCAAGCAGATGATGATGTCATGGCTCTAGATGGAACAAAAAACGGGGAAGAGGCGGGCTGGAGCACCCAGACCCGCCTTACAACGTGAAGTTGGAGTGCTACAGACAAAGTGCAGCTATTTTCAATTCTAAGTTGTTTTTTCTCATTATTGGTTTTTATGTTAGACATGGTGTTTTTTTGGTTACTTTTTACTTTGTTTACGTCGAGACTATAGAACATAGGATTCAGGATGGGGATTCTAGTTTGCTAGTCATTGGCTCAGGTAAGCCCAAAGTAGGATCAGCGAATCTGGTTGCTTCTCTTGAGGTGGCAAGTTCTAAGTCTGGTTCAAGGGCGAACAGTGGACAGTGAGATTCTTGTCTGGTTGTATCCTGCTCATGTTCTTTATTATTAATATAAGCCATCTTCTTCAAAAAAAAAAGAGTTGTTTTTTTATTATAGTCACTAAATGTCAATAAATCATATTTTAATAAAATATATTAAAATTCATGATTCTTATTTCATCTTTCTTATTTTTTTACATTTTTATTATAAATAAAGTTATGTTTGTTACTTTATATTTTAGAATTGGAAAACTAATCTTATTTAAGGAAGTTTTAAGTCATGGTTTTATTTCTTGTCAAAAAAAAGTAATGCTAAAAAAAGTAATCTTATTCCCGGAATAATGCTAATTAAATAAATAATTCCCGAAATACTGCCGGGTTAATAATAATTCCCAAAATACTGCTCGGGTTTACCAGGGTTAAGAAAGTCGCCACTTGAAGTGGCGGCTCTTGTATTACTTCACAAAAGCCGCCACTTCGAGTGGCGGATCTTGTGTTAAGCAGTATGCAGACCTGTTTATTTCACAAATGAACCAAAAGAACCTATAGTTAGCAGCAAATGTCCTCATCACAGTCCATTCTACTCAAATAAACAAGCAAATATATGATTTACTAAGACAAAATACATCTGAAACACAAAACGAATCAATGAAACTCATTGCATTGCAACACTTGAAATAAACATAAAAGTTATAATAAATCCGGTGTTTCACAAAATGATTCGATTTGCCAGTGTATGTTACAACTCTCACACAATAATATAAATACAAAGATCATAAGTCAACGTGATCATCATCATCATGAAGTTCATGTGGCTGTGGTTGTGCTTGGCGGCGCCTGCGCTAGTTACGAGGCTGAAGAACAACTATATCACGCCTGATTGCCTGAGAAGACCCTGTTGTGGATGTAGATGCGGTAGAATGCTGAGAGTCAGCCATATATCCATAATCCACTCGACCCAATACATCAGCGCACAGAGCAAGAATGCCCGAACAAGCCTCATGATATCCCTGTATATCTACTGCCTCATCAAGTACAACAGTCGCTCTGTCATGGATGCTACGCAAAGCACATGTCTGTAATGCAAACATGGTTATTACTGAAAAATATATGAATAAATAAATAAAGCTATTTTATTGACTATATTCTTTACCGTCATATGAAGAGCGACTGAGCTAGGCTGGTAATGATCAGTGGGTAAACGAAAGCTGGGAGAGATTAACACCCGTGTGATGGTGTAATACCATCTCATGTACTCCACAGATGTTGTGGGGACTAATGATGGGGTCCCGTCCACTATATACGCCGCTCTCTCATCCCACATAGTGATATACTGATTATGGCGCAACCCCCAATCTTCAGTGTGCTTCCCCTGTCTATCAATCTTGTGCAACTCCATAGATGTATCACAAGGTCCGGGAGTAACATGCTGCAACCCGAACCATCGTAGTACACGATCAGGAAAGTGATGCTCCACTACATCGAAACATACCAAGGACACACGTGCTCGCCATATCTCTCTGTGCTCTCGGGCAACAAGAGGTAACAGCCTTAGAATCTCATCGGTGTACGGCATCCATGTCATCTATAATATAAAATAATATTACCTTGTGATGCTTTGCCTTTTCCGTATTATTCTCAATCAGTTCCGTCACATGCTGGCAGTAGCGATGCCTTCTGCTAACCTTCTCTTACTAGGTTCTCTTCTTTCCACAAAATAGACATTCACACGATAGAATGACAACTCAACTAATGCGGTTATAGGCAGGTATCGTGCACTTTTCATGACGCTATTGAAAACCTCAGCCATGTTTGTTGTTGTGGTGCCATACCTGTACCCCCCCGTCGTGGTGTAAAGACCACTTCTCCAAACCAATGTTCGCTAAATATTCTCGTGCTTGTGCCTGCATTTTGCCTATCCTGTTAAATTCACCATCAAATTTCTTCTTTTGACGTTGACTTGCTGTCCAAACGAACAGATTCTTCAAGTGAATGTCTTTAAATTGAGTATGCAGATTAGAAGCAACATGACGTATGCAAAGCCTATGTCGTGAATCTGGCTCCTCCCATCCACTACCTACCTCACAAGTGCCTTCAGAATTCTAGCATGTCGATCTGAAATAACACACAATTCTCTGCGTGTGATAAAATGACGTATGCACCCCATAAACCTCAAATTCACCATATGCATAAAAGCGATTGAAAGTTGTACAACCCCTCCATGATTCATCAAATCCCGCAGGGAGCTCATAAACTTTAGTGTAGTGACTGGATGGAGCATTGGCACTTACGAGATCACCACCATCTTAATCTGAATCTGTTAGTGTGTCATGATTCACATTTTCATCTGCATCGTCGTCGATGTGCTGTGAATCCAGAAACGTTGAATCACTGTTCACGTATCTTCCATTCTCATGTGCAACCATATTCATCACAACTGGAACACTTGTGGATGGGTAAGATAATGACAGGTTGTCAGGTTGTATGGCCAACACAGTCGCTTCTTCAACATATATCTCCATGGTATGCATAGCAAGATTCGTGATCAAGGTCCACATCACCGTAACGGCTTCGTCGTCAGCAAGAGGCATCAACATGTATGATCCACCGTGAACGGGATATTTAACTTTCAAATCCAACTTGTTCATACGATTGATGGATGTGGCGGTATAGATTTTATTCATTAGCTCAGCCACACCCACCCACAGGAAACAACAATTATCTTCCTACTCCCCCCTTCATAACGAATTCCGTTCGACTCCTCGATTATATTTCCTCCCCAATGACACACAATGGGGAAGTTTGGAGACATATTCTATCAAAAATCATTCCAAAAAACGATATATGTCGCACATTGAAAATTCAACTACTAATTCAAAGAAACTGTATTAAATCATATGTATCATTTTTAAGATTTCATTCAATTACAAAATCTGATAGATACATATTAATGATGTGCTACATTACTTTTTTCCAAACTACCCGTATATCAAACTCAATCCAACCAACACATTACAAAATTCAAATTCTACAAATTATATAAAATCAAGCATAACAACTAAATTACCAACTTATATATCTCATAACATCAAATACAAAAAAAATAATCCAAAAAAGAGCGATTTTCGAACAACGATTTAAAAAAATCCTAGGTTTAGCAAAATAGATGAATTACCTCGATTGAAACAGTTGAAAGTAGAATGGAGCACTTACGACCTCGGGTACACCGTCTCTATTTTCCCTTTGATTCAAAATTAATCCAACAAACAAAAAAAATAATTCAAATGATACAAATTATATAAATTCAATCATAATAACAACAACAAAAACTTATATATTTCATAACATTAAATACAAAGAAAAAATTTTAAAAAACACACTAATTTCGAACATTAAATTAAAAAAACCTAGGTTTAGCAAAATTGGTGAAATACCTCGATTCAGACGGTTAACGGGCGCTAGAATGGAGCACAAATGATCTCAGGTACACCGTGTCTCTTCTACGATTGATTTGAGCTTCGTTTGGAGGCGTTCTGGCCGGAATCGGAATAACTTTGTTGTTCTCGTTCGTCGTTCGCGCAGACTGCAGAGGGAAGGAGGATTTTTTCGTCTGTGTTCGTCGGCTGAGGAAGAAGGAGGATTTGTGTGAATTAATGAGCCGCCACTCGAAGTGGCGGCTTTTGTGATACATAAGAAGAGCCGCCACTCGAAGTGACGGCTTTTGTGAAGCAATACAAGAGCCGCTACTTCTATTGACGACTTTTCTTAACCGTGATTAACCCCTGCAATATTTTGAGAATTATTATTAACCCGACATTATTTCGAGAATTATTTATTTAATTAGCATTATTTCGGGAAAAAACTCAATCTTGAATTAAAAATATACCGAGTACTTTCTAATACTTGAAATTGTACGGAATAATACTTCCCACTGATCGACATCGTCACCATCTACCATCTTCCCTCATCTTGTCCCTCATCGCTCCCGTAGTCTGTAGCCGTCCGTCCGTCTCAACGGCGTAACCCTCTGTCACACGCGCCTCCCGCGCCTCCCGCGGCGCGTCGTCTGCTGCATCTGCACGCTGGAAAAAAACTCCCATTGCCGTCTTTCAGACTCACTACTTAGCTAGGTAAACCAAATTAAAAATTAAATTTCAGATTTTGTTCAAAATAGAAATGATTTCATATTCAATTATTGAATTTTTATGATATATGTTTCAGAAATTTTTAGTTCAATTATCAATTGACCATCTTTTGTTCAATTAATAAATTGTATTCCTCTGAAATTTTAATTAGTGAAACTTAGGAACAAAAGAATTGTAAAATATTTCTGCACACCCTTCTTTATCCGATCATTCCGGCACCAGGTCTTTATCTTGTTTTTTAATTTTTAATTCAGATCATATGTCTTCATTTTATAATCTTGAATTTAATCTCATTTTTTAATTTCTGTCTTGTTGTAAAAAAGCACTTTTCAGTTGTTCATTGTTTATAACCCAACTTCTGATGAGAAGAAGTGATATAATCTGGTTTAGATTACTGTTTTAACAACTTAAATTGAGTTAGAGCTTATAACAAAAGCTTAAGTTTCTCTTTGATGTGTAAAGATAGTTACTGAGTTACTGTTAGAAGTACCTTAGCAGTGCACTGTGACCGAATTAATATATCAATATGATTTTTTTAAAATACAACTCTGTTGGCAACTTTTATAAATAACATTGAAAGCTTTCTTGCTGTTAACATGGGCGGGTAGTATCATTTATGTTTGATAAGCATATTCTCAAATTTCTCTTACTTCAACAAGAAATCGGGCTGCCATAAATGTTTTTAAAGAATTCCTGAACATGAATGATTGGAATATTCCATATCTCATTATCACAACTGTGGTTGGTGACTTGTTTAACTAAATTTAAAAATAGTATTTAAGTACTAACCCCATTGTTTTTAAGATGATAGTTACTTGTCAAGGATCTTTTTGACCCCATGTGGTGGATTGTTGTAGAGTTGAATTTGTGATGTTTTTTACTTGACTTCGATGAAAAATTCTACTCTTGTAATTTGTAAAATATGAGTCAAATTTCTTTTTGTATCTTACCTCGTTGTAATTGAAGTTATTTTATATGTACTAATTTTTGGCCCACTCTCAATTCAAATGCTAGAACCGCCCCTGAATGTACATACTATGTATTTTGATTTGGACTAATGAATGATTGACGTAGAATGTATACAAACATAGAGATCTCAAATTAGGTAAGAGCAGAGCATGGACAAAATTACAGTTGAAATATTAACTAAGAATTATGAACATATCTATGTGACATTTAAAATCAAAATCAAGAATTTTCAACCCCTTTTCTCCTGGAATAAGATTTATAACCCCTCAAGAATGTCTTATTGCAGTCTGCAGACAGCTCTGGAGACATCACCACCAGGTCACCGCCAAAAACTTCTTATTTCAGACAGGTCTGAAGGAATTTTATGGCTCATTTTTACTGGCTGTGATGGTCTGCATCTCCTGCTACTGTGGGTATTGTGTTGTGTTTATCTTCATCAAAGTTTTAATCTCAAATTACTGGATTGCAAGTGCTGTGTGAAATGCGTATTCACAGGGCTGCAATTAATGTTTCTTAATCATTATTGAAGATTAGTGTGGTGTCTTTCCATTTACATGTGTCTCTTCGTGTTTCCATGTCTTGACTCTTGAGAAGATAAATCATAATAAATGTTTATTTGAAAATAGTGATTAGTTGTGTAGTACTGCAGTGTCTTCATTGTATTTATTGAGAATCAAAACTTTATTTCAAAGTTGCTGCTGCCAAAAATATTCATTCCGTGTGCTAACTTTTAGCAGGACTCTTTTGCCAGGAACTTGCTCTGCATGTTTCTTTTTGCTATTATATTATACACACACATTATATTTTATTATAGTAGAAATACATAAGCTCTCCATTTTTTAAGTTCATGTAAAAAAATCATGTATCTCGAATTGCCAGTGCTAACTATCAATTTCATTGATTGACTATTAGTTTATTAGTTCGACAAATTAATCAATTATCGATTTCTCTTTAGCATTGCACCTCATCCTATGGGCATCTTTATTACAAAAACAATCAACAATGCCTTATAGTTTCAACTTTGCTTTCTAGAACTATCAATACAAAACATCAAAGAAAGAGACAACCCCATGGGCAGTATTATTGTAGTAATGATAATGAAATTTCAGGGCAATTTTTTACTTCTACAAACTTCACGTTGCATGCTCTTAGAATATATTGCAGGATGGTCAGTATCTTAGGCAAGTGATAAAATATTGAATGAGATGAGAATTTCTGGGCGATCTATTTGTCCAACTAAATCTCTCATATAACTTGAAAAATGTTAAATTCTCAACCGTGTAAGTTTATTAAAAGACCAATTCACTCTATTTACTAGTGCTAATTCTCCCTTTCATTGATTGATTATTAGTTTATTAATTCCACATATTAATAGATTATCTATTTCTCTCTGGCATTGCACCTCATTCCATGGGCATCTTTATTACAAAAATAGAACACGAAAAGAAATGGCTATGCTTGTCGCATTCTAAACTTTGAATGCATCCTGAAATTGTTAATGAAGAGCATGAAAGCAATAGATAACAAAATGAAAAAGAGGTTAGGTAGTATTAGTGTATTGTTGCAGTAATGATAATAAAAATTCAGGGGCAGGTATTTTTGGTGCTACAAGCTGCGTGTTGTGGGGTCTTAGAATGTCTTGGAGCCTCGTAGGGTGGTCAGTATCTTAGGCAGGTGATAAAATATTGAATGAGATGTCATTTCCAGACTGTCTATTTGTATAACTAAGTTTCTATATTGTAGGTGCTTCTGTGTGCGTAGAGATGTTATTTTGGCACTATAGCTATTGTACTGAACTCCACAGTGTACTCACTATAGCTATTGCTTCTGGAATCAATACTTTCAACAATGCAAATGTTGCCAAATGATAGTCGGGGAGAATCTGGTTCTGAAACAGAGCCCATCTTAAACCGCTCTAATGTTGCAATGGAATCTTCACATGCAATTGAAATCACAGTGAGTGAGGATTGTTCTGCCAGTTCTGATGATTCATCAAGTATTGAAGTTGATGGAAGTGAATCGCTGTTAAATTTAGAGCAACCACAATGCCGTATATGCCTTGATACTGAAGGTTTTGTATGCCTGTTGTGCCAGTATTACTGGTTCAATCGATTGCTAAGCTATAAACGCCATAACGGTTAAAGCTTGTATTGGTTAAAAGGATGCTTTTACTTTATGTACTCATGGATTTTGGATAGCGTTATTATGAATGCAGAGTGTGGGTGAAAGCAACACATATTGCTCACAAAATGCGTCTATCTTTTTTGCATTTTTCAGGTGAAGATTTGATTGCACCTTGCCATTGTAAGGGAACCCAAAAATATGTCCACAGGTCTTGTCTTGATAATTGGAGATCTACAAAGGTAATACTCTGTATATGCTTATCATATTTCCTTTGTTCAGGACGTCAGGTATAATGCTCCTCTCTTTTCTTTAATTAAGTTTTTTTGATGTATGAAGTTTACAAAATAAAGGCATAAAAGATACATCTTAATCATGTCATACTTAAAGTAATGAACTATCCCTAACTGGTAATAATGCTCACAAAACTGGTGATGTAGTTAATTCGAAAGAAGGAAGCTGGACACGGAACAAATAGATTATATAGTATGGAGTACTAAATACCATATAGAAGCACGTGAAGAAGAGTATAGAGAAGGGGGTTGTTACGGCATGGTCGCTAGGTTTCTGTTATGTACCGGGATTCTTTACGTCACGGGAATGAAATAAAAATGATAAATGGATAGGGATCTGTGGAAATTTGGGGAGTTTTCCTTCTCCTTGATTTTCTTCTTAATTTTTCTTCCATCTTTTATTAGCATAACAAAGCTCCCTTTTATAAGAGGGATTACATGCAGAGAACAAGAGGAGGGAAATCCTAGAAAATCACTTCCTAAAATAGATTAAATAATCAAGGTATTAAAATCAAATCATAATAAACTCAATCAAGCAAATCAATTAGCTATTACTCCTCATATTCTACTTGATTGCTCTTTTTAGCTTTCCATAATATTATATTGTAGCATGCATCATTACACCCCTCCTGGAAAATCAAGCTTGCCCTCAAGCTTGAAAACTTGAACTGGATTTGGAATGACTGCACCAACAAAAAGTGCCAGTGATCCTTGTATTCTTGAAGAAGATTGAAAGTCACCCTTAGTGGTGGACAATGGCCAAGGTGATCATCGTCCAGTAAAAATTCCATTGGAATACAATGGCAAACTTGGACAGGCTTAGTGGACCAAAATGGATCGGGGAAGTCCAAAAAGTTTATTTTGGGTAGTTTATCGGGCAGGGCAGTCTGCAATATGGGTGTTGCAGACAGCGTTGGCTCTAAAAGATGCTGTGTTGGAAGCAACGCTGACGGCGGTTGAGGCAGAATTTCTGCAGTTGAAGTATTTACTGAGGGCGGTTGAGGCAGAAATTCATCTCCTCCCAAGGAGTCCACTGATTCGGAAAGGTTGGCAATATGGCTAGAGAGTTTCTGAAGCGACTCCTTTAATGGTGGCAGTGCTTGTTGCACCATTTCCACTGCATTTTGAAGATTGTGAAGATGCCCTTCGCTTATCAGTTTGTGTAACTCCTTCTGTATCTCTGAGAGGAGCATGTACTGATCAGCATGCTTGTCACGGCGTCGCCTAGGCGTCGCCTAGTCGCCGACTAGGCGTCCTGGCGCTAGGGACTGCTCGCCAGCTTCACTCGCCTCGCCAGATGAAGAGTAGTCGTGAATGGCGTCGTCTAGGCGTCGTCTAGGTGCTGTTTTGGCGTCGAAGTCCTCGCCTTTTTGGAAAGTCGGACTGCTATGGTGCAGGCCCAGAACCCAAAATAAAAATAGATTTAGGCTTTAATTAAAAGCAAGCCCATAGTAATCTTCCTTACCGACGATTCGTTGCCCAAAGTCGTATAGCCAAGCCAAGTCGCAGCCTCGTAGAGTCGTAGGAAGCAGACGAACAACTCCACGAAGAAGACAAAGTCGCAGGTATGGCCCTCCTTGTCCCTCGCTCGCGGAAGCAGAGTAGCAGGCGACTCCCTACTTCCCAGTCCCCGATCTCTTCTTCTTGGCTTCATTTTTTTATTATTTTAATTAATTAAGTTGTGTATTTATATATATATATATATATATATATATATATATATATATATATATATATATATATATATATAAAGGGTGTATTTTCATCTATCTATCAATATATGTGTATATATACACTTCTATATTGCAGAATCAAGATATAATATGATATAATGATATACCCAACCTGTGAGACTTCTATTTTATTATATGTTCTAAATTATAAAATAATAAACTGTTAAAATAATCATAAAAACTGGTACATACTAATATATACTACGTATGATATATATTTTGCATAGTTTAATTATATGTATGATTATATATATAATTATATACATAATTATATATATATATATAAATATATAGGCGACTAGTCGCCTAATTGTCGCCTAGGCGGGCGCCTAATCGCCTAGGTGATATGGCAGTTGGTTGGCGCCGCGACTCGACTTACCGCCGTGACAAGTATGCTGATCAGCAGGAAGTGTGAAATTCCACATGACGCCGGCAACGGAACCAAAATGTTATGTACCGGGATTCTTTACGTCACAGGAATGAAATAAAAATGATAAATGGATAGGGAGCTGTGGAAATTTGGGGAGTTTTCCTTCTCCTTGATTTTCTTCTTAATTTTTCTTCCATCTTTTATTAGCATAACAAAGCTCCCTTTTATAAGAGGGATTACATGCAGAGAACAATAGGAGGGAAATCCTAGAAAATCACTTCCTAAAATAGATTAAATAATCAAGGTATTAAAATCAAATCATAATAAACTCAATCAAGCAAATCAATTAGCTATTACTCCTCATATTCTACTTGATTGCTCTTTTTAGCTTTCCATAATATTATATTGTAGCATGCATCAGTTTCATTGCCTTGCCTGAAGACTGAAGTAGACTAGGGGACTGCATCATCGTCCAAGTGTAGTCCAGGCGTAGGTTAGACAAAAAGGGCTATGCTAGATTTGGAGTTCATAAATCTATTAAACCAAGCCCCTAAAAAATAGAAACTAAAATTAGGAAACTCCTTTAATTAGGTGTACTAACTATGACGCCAGATTTAGGAGTATTATAAATACAGCCCAACTCTTACTTTGTAACTTCGCAAGACTGATTTGTTGAACTCCAGTCGAAGAAGTCTGACAGTTTCAGAAGCCAGAGTGCAGTCCAACTCCCCTAGAAGGAGAATTTGTAATCGTCGGCTGAATCTTCCTTCCGCTGGTCCCGATTTTCTTTCTCCTTTCTATGTTTTCCAGTTTTTCTCCTTATCGTTTTCTTCTTGCACAGTATATTGCCGGTCCCTTATTTAATTATGTATGTTATATATAGCATTTATAATTTTTAAATTTTTTACGTCGTATTTATTTGTTTAGAATTTCTTTAGTATGAATTTTATGCATTGCTATAGTAAAAAAGAACTTATTGCCTTTTTTACTAAGTACAGTGCTACGTATTCACACTTTCACTTCCTCTCTCTTTCTTATAGTATAATAAAAATACTGCCAACTAGCCTATTGAGTTCAAATAGTAACACACCTGTAACTGTTATGTAAGCATTTCAGTCAAATTTCTTGCTGAAAAAGTGTGTGTATTATCTGTATATAATTGATTAGCTTTGTTATCAATTTTAAATTTTGAATTTTGAATTTTTTGTATTCAATAGCTAATAATATTGAAATGGAGCCAAAGGTTCATTATTTTTTGGCTTGAGATTATGATGGAATAAAGCAAAATGGCTCACTAAACTGTTTGCGCTTCTTTGTTATGGAGCAGTGTTAGGGACCCGGTAGAATAAGAGTAAATAAGAAATGTAATAGATAGAGTAGTATAAATAGAAGGGGAGTGGGCAATAAAGAGTAGGCTGTTTTTAGACTTGTGTCTTGGGACTTGGGAAGACTGAGATTCTATCTCTTTCTTTTGGGGACTTCGGTCAATTGGGGGCTTCGGCCATAGTTTCTTGTTCTTAATCAATAAAGACTGCAGAGTTGTTCTTGATCTCTTTATGTGATTTTATTGAATTTCTGGATATCTCTAACATTGGTATCAGAGCCCGTCTATCTTGGGAAGATGGAAGGACGTGTGACGGATATAGAAAGAAATCTGAGAGAGACAGCAGCTAGGCAAGCTGATATGGCGAAGACGATGGTAGCTATGCAAGCTAGCATCGCGGAAATACAAAACAGACTTCAAAGTCGATCGATGAATCAATCGCACACTTCTGATACGTCGCATCAAGAACCGAAGCTTCGAAAGGAACATGGAGATCGATCGAGCAACACCAGGCATCATCGTCTCTGTGACAAGCAGAGTCCGTCACAATCTCAGGGCTCGCAATCGCGAAATACACGTCACTGTTCACAGTCGCGATACAGATCGCATGCGTCAAACGCATCGCATCGGGAGTCTCATCTTCATCATACGCGAAGGTCAGCGAGTCCAGAGGACTCAGAAGAGCGGAGGCATCGCAGAAAATCTGGCGATCGATTGTTTCTTCGCCAAGCTCTTCACATAGCTCTTCGCAGAGTTCTTCTCATCATTCTTATTATCGCTCTTCGCATCAGACTATCTCAACGGACATCAGTTCGCACTCTAGGAAGACACGATTGAGAGGAGAATCTTCTTCTTCACCAAATGATTCTCACAGTTTGCTATCTTCTTCTAAAGCAGTCTCTCGGAACTCTGCTAATTCAAAAACAGAGAAATTACCTCTATTTTACGAGGATGAAGCGTACAAATGGATAGAAAGGATGGAAAGATATTTCCGAGTCCAAGCTATTGCAGAAAGATTTAAAGTGGACATGGCAGCAAAGGCAATGGGGAATGCAGCTGATGGCTGGTTTCAATGGTGGGATTTTAACAAGAGAGAAGATAGTTGGGAGGCTTTAAAGGAAGATTTGATTAGGGATTTTCCACCTACACCGGCAGAAGACAGGGAAGACAGCAAAACCAGAGTCATCGAGGTCGCAAAGAATTTCTCGTTCACAAGTTTCTCAATCAGTGCTAGAAATTTACCAGTCCACAAAGAAGACCCAGATGGAACTAAATGAACCTGTAATCAAGCAAGTGAATGAGAAAGACAAAATCAAGGTGGAAAGACATGAGGAGGAGGTTGGGCTTGTTTCGGGAGAATCTGCTATCAGTTTTGGAAATCCCAAACAGATTCATGATGCTGACAAGTCTAGTTTTGTTCCGGAGATGAACTGGCTGAATCTTTTAAAATCTGAAATGATATATTGTCATCCATTAAACATTTCTTTGGAAGGGCTGAAATCATTGAACAAGTTTGATAATTTCAGATATGAGGGTATTACTTCTATGATGGGCAATAAAAAGGGGTGGGAAGGAGAGATTTCTGGGAATGTTACAGAATTTGAGGGATATGTGACTGGTGTGGAAATCGTTAGTGAAGAGGTTAGGGGACTGCCAGTAGATTGTATACCTGTTCAAGATAGAAGTGTAGGTTTTAATTACAAGTTTCTTATGGCAAGTATTGATCCAAGACACAAAATACTCATGAAAAGAGGTATGAACTGGAAAGAGGACAATGTGTTGAGCACCATTGTTTTTTTGAAAGGGATGGGGAAGTATGTTGTTGATATTTTTGAATATCAGTTGTATCAAATCAGTATGGCCCGGGATCCTACTACTCGGGCTACTGTTAATAGATGGGAGGCTGTAGCAAATGGACAGGTGAAGCTGAAACAAGGCTTGAAAAGTGAATTGTTTTCTTCTAATGAAGAATCTGTCTACCTTCAAGAAAACCTACTTTGGAAGTTTTGCATGGATAATAGGCTTTCCTGTTCTTCAGTTGGGGGAAATGCAACTGGAATAGTGGATATCCTTACCTACCTGCTAAAACCTTTGAGGTTTTCCTTCTCAAATAAGTTGGCTACTGAAGATGCTGAAATTTCAAGGAGTGAAGCAACTGAAACTCAAAGATTTGAGTTATATTCTGTAGCAAGAGCTATTAGCACATGGAAGAATGAGAAAGGGATGGTGGGTAAAGATCAGTACCAGCATGATCAAAGACACGGGCCTAATATTGATGATTGGAAGAAAAAGGAGCTAATGTTGTTTTTGCGAGAAGCAGTGAGAAGGAAGATTCAAGTCAAGAAGTTAAGGATCCTGACATTTGAAAGATATTGGGAAGGAAGGGGTGCAAGGAAGAAGAAGCCGAAAATCTGGGCTGTCTCCTACCGACCACCTTGAGGGCAAGGTGGATGTTTAAGGGGGGAGATATGTTAGGGACCCGGTAGAATAAGAGTAAATAAGAAATGTAATAGATAGAGTAGTATAAATAGAAGGGGAGTGGGCAATAAAGAGTAGGCTGTTTTTAGACTTGTGTCTTGGGACTTGGGAAGACTGAGATTCTATCTCTTTCTTTTGGGGACTTCGGTCAATTGGGGGCTTCGGCCATAGTTTCTTGTTCTTAATCAATAAAGACTGCAGAGTTGTTCTTGATCTCTTTATGTGATTTTATTGAATTTCTGGATATCTCTAACAAGCAGCAGTCAGTCCATGCAATTTTGGACGCAATTTTCACTATGGGTCATCCGGAAACAGTCTCTTTGTGCTTTAGTACAGGGGTAAGACTGCGTACATCGACCCCCCTTACCCCACCGTAGGTGGGAGCCTTTGCGGCACTGGGGTAAATGAAAATGAAATTGAGCTAATAATATTGAAAAAATGGCTCACTAAACTGTCCGCGCTTCTTTGTTATGGAGCAGCAGTCAGTCCATGCAATTTTGGACGCGATTTTCACTATGGGTCATCCGGAAACAGTCTCTCTGTGCTTTAGTGCAGGGGTAAGATTGCGTACATCCGATCCCCCCTTACCCCATCGTAGGTGGGAGCCTTTGCGGCACTGGGGTAAATGAAAATGATGAATAACTAATAATATTACTACCTCCGCCCCACTAACATTGGGACATGAAGAGGACTTGTTATCTCTTTCCTAACTACTTTTCTCTTTAAGTATTTAATGACCATGTGTGTGTAATGGGTGCAATAAATTTGATGTTTGAGCTTCATCCTCCCCAAAAGGAAACAAAAATAGAGAAACTATTGCCCATAATCACTAGTCTCAATGTTACTCTCTTGGATTGTTCTGTAAGATGGGTATTTGGTAATTTTAAGAGCAATTTTTTAACAACAACATCCAAGCCTTAGTCCCAAAAGATATTTGGTAATTTTAAGAGCAATTTTTTAAAATGCATATAAATGCTCATTAATGGTTTCACATTGTTAAAATCTCACACCGGATATCTCTGAAAGAATTAAACACTATATTGAGATATGAGCTACTCATCCTACAAGGTTGACCTTTTAGGATGGAATCCCGGATCTTAACACGGTATCAGAGCCAAATCGATCCATAACCATGGTGTGGGTCCCTATGAAAATTGATGACACGATTAAAAAAAACTATAATGACGAACCGATGAAAATGAATAATGGCATGCTCCGGACGAAGTGTCTGGATCGTGAGGAGGGGTGTTAAAATCCCACATCGGATATCTCTCAAAGAATTAACACACATATTTGACCTTTTAGGATGAAACCCCGGATCTTAACACACATATTTGCTAATTCAACATATGATTAATCAATTATGCTAATTCAATGTAATTATTATACACATAGTCTCCATGTGTTACCCATATGACATTGTGTGCTCATTAGTGAGTTGCTACATGCTCAATAAAATTATTGATATGAAGAGTGTGCATCAATGTTCATGGATATCAGTTGCAAACTTGCAATTACCTTATTATCATTCACCTCCATTTTTTGAATATTTAAACGAATAATGAACAATGCTGCATTGTCAATCGAATTTTGTGCCAACCATTTACAGTGTCTGTGTGTTAATTTTTCCAGGAGGGTTTTGCTTTCGCTCATTGTACAGAGTGCAAGGCAAAGTTTATATTGAGGGCAAATGTACCACCTGATCGGTGGTGGTTGAGGTTGAAATTTCAGTTTCTTGTTGCAAGAGACCATGCTTTCATTTTTCTTGTTGTCCAGCTGGTATATAGTCTTCCATTTACTTATTGCCTGCTCTAAGTTGCTATCCTCTCTTCAAGGGTAGTACTGTCTTTGGTTAATAAAAAGAGCATATACTACAGATTGTAGCAATCTTAGGAGTGCTAGTGTACAAATTTTACGGAGAGGAGTTGCGGGAAATGTTCGGTTATGAAGAACATCCATATGGATTTTATACAATGGCAGGTATACCATACCATGGTTTATTGTTTTTTTGTACTTCGTTTTTGCATTTAACTGGTATTTGAAGAGGAAATGGTAGCATATTGATTATTTTCCAAGCACTCTATTTTTCTGTGTTTTTTATTTAATATTTTCTTTTCACAATGAAATCTCTCCTTATTTTGATAGTTTTTAAACCTTGCAGTTTTGGCAATCGTATTGGTTGGATTGCTTTATGGTTTCTTCATAGCAATAATTTGTGGACAGAGGATTAGTGAACGTCACTACTATGTTCTTGCAAAACCTGAACTTACGAAGGTGTATAAGTTGTTCATAAGATCATTATCATCAGTTCCTTAATCCCAACTAGTTGGGGTCGGTGGCATGACTTTAATTTAGCTGCTAAGATTAGGTAGCAACTTAGCTTTTAAAGTTCATGCAAAAAAGTATAGCGGCGAAGTTCTACACTGGATGCCCTTCTTCCAGCCTTCTTGAGAAGAAAGTAAGAAGGACTAATGAGATGAAATTCTAAAACGGTCCTCACCGTAAGTTATTTTAACTTGCATGGAAAATATGATCAGGGATGAAATTATACAATTTTTATTGTCATGCTCATCATATTTTTGGGGGTGTGCCATGGTCATCATTATGACAATAGTCTTGAAATACTCTTGCCTCACTGGGAAAAGAAAATCTAGAAGTACCGACCTGCATTGTTTACTTGTGATATTTAAATGGAAACACACTCTTTTGGGATCAAACATAAAATAGTCCCAGAGGCATATTTGCCTGACCCATCATCTTGTGGCATTTTTTGTGGTATCTTCTCTTTGGGTTTTTTCATGATATGCTTCACCAGTTCAAATTTTCATTTTTAAATCGGTAGGAATATGTTGTAGAAGACCGGGATGCATTGAGTAAGACTGTCCCAGAACTAGACCCTAGCCACGTGTCAGAGCTAAGGATGTTGGGCCTATATTAAGGTTTGAACTATGAACTTAAATTTTGCTCATTAATCAGATGCATATTCCATTTCATTTAATTTTAATTTTATTATTAAGTAGGAAGACCTTGGGGGGAGGGTGTTGATTGTATGAAAAGTTGGGAGTGTTACAAGCCTGGGGTGAGGAACAGTAGGAAGTTGTATATTTCCTAGACTCCCAGTGCGTGGGTAAGGTTAGTGAAGCCAAATGGGGTGCAGGGGGGTGGGGATTTTGGGGGGTGGGGATTTTGGGGGGATGTATTTAAAGGCTTAAATCTGCTTTTGACAGGATAAAACTGTACACAGTTCTAACTACAATTGTCTTGTTAAAGGTTGTAATGTTTTCCAGTAAACCTGTTTTAACTAAAGCTATGATTACCTGAATTCGAAAGCACCACTTAAAATCACTTTTACTTTGATAAGCCTTATTACTCAGAACAATGTTTGGGCTTATCTTATGCAAATATCTTAACTCGCAGGGTTTCACCTTCCCACGACTTAATGAGGTAAATTCTACTTCCAACAGAATTTACGAACAACGAAGTATATGTTTATGCACGGCATCAGAGCTGGCTCGCAAGAGTCCAGTCTCTAAAACTAGAAATACATATTTTACTCGTTCTTGCTCTATGAGGAAGCGTCTACTGCGAAATGCAGTTAGGAGAAACTGAACATTTGGGACTCCGTATTCAAAGTTTTAATTTTTCTCCATTTTCTTTTTGTAGATTAGTACTTTAGTAGGTATGTTTGCAAAAAAAAGATTTGCTGATCTGTGTTGGTTATTGAGTTCTGTTACCCAAAGTTCCACTTTCCATTTATGTTGTACAGATGGAAGGAGTTTAGTTCTTGGGTTGGAGACTTGGAGTTCCAACATTGTAGTATTAGTGAATATGGATTTCTTTTTTACTACACATGGTTTAAATTTGGATTAGTCCGATGATAAAACTGTAAAAGAGACTTCAGTAGGAAGGACATGTTTTTGGTAACCCAAATTTTCATCTGATTCAATCTAAACCTCGATTTCGGACCATCTGGTCATGATTACAAAATCTACAAGCGAAATTCGCCAGACACTTGGGGTTAGATCATAGATGGATTGGAATATGAATCGTTGGACTGACTATTTATTGAAAATTGGCTGTGATCACTTATAGCCTAAGCACAAGTGCACAAAACGTAGGAAAAGATATTTAGACAAAAATACGGATCTTTGGTCACGGCTTTACACAAATTCCTAAGCCAATAGTGTCAACATTCTATTATGTGTTGTGACTTCTGAAGACCACAGTTTATTGTTATTTTGTTTTGGAAAAGCTTTCTAAATTCCAACTTTGAGATTGTTTATCATCAAACTCTGAACTTTGTTAATGTACAGAAACTAGAAGCCGATAGATGTACCCTTTCGCTCAGTTTAAGGCCCTAAATTAAAGATACTACGTTTAATGCAAAAATCAATTTCGACTCGGATACAAAATTATTATAATTATAAGAGAGAACAGGAGAGATAACTGGGGCTGCAATAATATTGTTTGAAAACCTTTAACTAAAGGGGGTATACACAGAACTTTTTACAAGTACTAAAAACATGATCTACCTAATTATATACATCCATTGTTTAGTGGCAATGCTTCCAATTTCACGTTTGTCAATGCACAAATTTAATAAAAAATATATTTAATTCTCTATTGTAAAAAATCACTTTTTTGAAAATTAAATTTATTACCCCAAAAAACGTAATCAAAGTAAAATACATGGATAATGTAAAATTTCTAATGTTGCAACTAATAAATTCAGATAAATTAATAAAGTAAAAAATGATCTCTTCCCTCGCTTTGACCAAATTGGCCCTAAGTAATTCAATTATATGGTGTTACTTAATTTTGTACTACGTAAGTACGTATTAATAATTACAAGTTTACATAATAAAACTCACATTATAAGATCAACAATATCAAGGTTAAATATGATAAGAAAAGTGATTTAAAGGTGACAATTAAAAAGTTCTCGATTGATAATCAGAATAACTATGAGAATTTAGAACATAAAAAATAAGTTAGGCAAAGTATATCAATAGTCAATACATTTATTTGTTAATATACATTTAACATATATCAATTTTGGGACCTCTCCTTAATTAGAGAGATTCTAGAAAATTCTAAAGCTTTATAGAGAAGTATAAAATTTTCTAGAACGTTCTCAAGAAACTTAGAGAAGTCTTGAACTCTCTAGAAGCTTGTGGAATAGTGTGAAATCTTCTCAAATATTTTAGAGATGTGTGGAACCTTTCGAAAGCTTATGGAAGAGTATGGAAGGATATGGAAGAGTATGGAAGAGAATAGAGACTCCTAGAGTGTGTGGGGCATTTTAGAGAATCAATCTCCACCCTTGGATACAAATCATCCACATCATTCATTGTGAAGGTGGAGTAGTACAAATAGGGGTAGGAGGCTTCATTCCTAGGCATGGCAATGGGTCGGGGCGGGGCAGGTACCGCAAGACCCAGACCCGCCCCGTGACCCATGACCCGCCCCAAGTGGGACAAGTCCCTCTGTCCTGCCCCGCCGTAACCTAATTAGCTAGTACTATCTTCCGTTCCGTTTTAATCTCAACATGTTGAATTTTACACTATTCACATGCTCTACTTTGACTACATTTTAGGCTATTATTTTATGAAAATTATTTTTTAAAAAAATATTGTTCAATTCATCTCATTACAAATTTTCAAAATCCGATTTTTAATATTTTTTCACTAATAGGATTAATATAAGATATAATTACGGTCAAAGATGTTCGTTGGCAAATATGAAATGTTGATCGTTGCAACTAAAAAAGAACGGAGGAAGTATGTGTTTTTATTTGTGAGAAGTTGTTACCAATTGAATCTACATAAAGTTTATCTTTAAATAATTATTAAAAATTAATATATTAAAGGAAAAATCCACGCTAATAATCCAACCTATTGCCCGTCTTCTATTATTAATCCGTCATACGTGTTATTCTGAAATAATACCAATTAAGGGGTTAATCTTCCACCTTCACTCTGAGGGTACTGGCAACCGGCTAACCCAGTAACTAATTTTTAAAATTTGCGTAACAAACAACAACGTTCTCATCCTCATTCAACAAGAACAAATGTATGCACCCTCCATCCCAGAAATTGAAGTCCCGTCTGGAAGCTGAGAGCGCCACCCTCACCGGATTGAAAGTCTTCCCACTCGATCTGATATACCGCTACAGACGTTCAACCAAAATGGTACGTTTCTTTTTCTTTAATTTTGAGTATTGTTGTGGTTAGTGTTCATGTATTATCTTGTGGGACAAAAATTAGGATTCTTTCCGTTTACATGATTTTTTAAGGTTTTATTGAGTTAATTAATAATTGATTTCGTTTGTTAGGGTTTTTAATCTATGATATTAACCCTTCACATAGGTTACGGAGGATACCCGTGTTAGTCTACGCATATGACATGGGGGAATGTTTAAGAAGAACACCATGGGAATACTAGAATATGTGAGAGGTGAATCTAGGACGTTTGATATAGATTCAGATGAACTTTGTTGGTTTTGGTTAGAAGAGTTGGCTAAAAAGTGTGGGGATTACTCTACAATAGATGCCATTTACTACTTGGTTCCCAATCGTAGCTATGAAGAGGGTTTGATTAGAGGTGGGAGGATAATGATGAGAGGGAGAGGGAGAGGAAAAGGCAGAGGGAAAGGACAGACAAGAAGACGGGTAATAATGAAATTTGAAATGCAATTTTGTTATAGCCATGGCAGTAATGGTTGATTCTTTTGGTTGCAGGTACCCCAAGGATTTGGCGTGTTCATTGATGATAATGGCAACTCATTTGTTAATGTGAGGATGATGGGTTTGAATTAGACATTTATAAGAATTTAGAATGGAATTGTATTGAATGAAATTGTTTGATTTTTTGTAGGCCCCTGGTCAGGTTGGAGGTCCACAAATAATTTCAGGGGCTGCATGCCCTCCTTCAAGCAATGCCACAACATAAATAGGCATTTTGATGTTTGGGTTGGAGTTATATGTACTATGTTTTATGATCTGTCATATTATGTGCTTTCTGGGATGATGTAATTTGGATGACATGTTTGTTTGTTGTATTTGGATGATCTATGTATTTTGGATGATTATGTACTTCACATCAGTTACATGATGTATTTGGATGATTATTTTGGATGATTTCAGTTCAATTTCATTTAGTTAGAGTAAGGCATATGAAGTTGTAGTTTTGTTTTGAGAGTACAATCCATAATGATTCACACATTTTTAAACACATATTTGAGATTCCAAACATAAATTTCATACACTTCAAATCCAAGGGTACAAATTACACATTGTTATAACCTCAACAAGTTACATTACAAGCATCTAAACACTTCTACATTTCACTTCAAATAACTTAAAATATCAAAAACAATCCAAGATACAAGTACAACCATAATATCATATTTTTCTCCTTTTGCACTTTTGGTAGCCATCATATGTACTTAGATCACTTATCAAAGCCTTCGTCTTCTTGTTCCTGTTCTTCAGTTTTTGCAATTTTTCTTCCAACTTCTTCTTGTCTCCCAACAACTTCTCAATGACTATGTCTTTGTCCTCCATTTTGTAGTCATCATAACTCAAGTCATTGTCATTATACTATTTGAAGTACCTACAATCTGCACTTTAAACACACCATACCACAAATTATATAAGCCACACCTCATTAACGTAATGTACACATCACAAAGCCTAAATATACCTTTCACAAACTAAACCAACCCATTTTATAGTTCCATCAAAAAATTGACCTACCACTTTTACCTTATCCATCATGCTATGAAAAGCATAAATTCAGCCAAACATGGTCACGATTGACCTAAATTCAATCAATAATCTTCATCATGGCTTAACCTTAAATTTCTACCAATACAATTAAAATTGCAAACAAAGAATACTGACTGGCCACAGTGAGCATCCAAAAAACTTCCGTCCAAGGTTAGGACCGTTCTTCACCGTTCTCAGTTTACACTCGGTGTTGTGATGACATTTAGGCCCGACTGCACCTGTACTTGAGTTCCAAGACGACCACCCACTCACAGACTTCATCTCCAATGTTGTGTTTCCCTTATCCGACCGTCGCGTTTCGTTTTCTGGTTTCCTCCTTCGTCGTTCTTTTTCAATGTGTTTAGAATAGCATACAAGCCTCACACTTATGGATAAAACTTAGACACGTGCGGTCTCGTGACTATTATTAACCGGCTAACACTTGGCTTCCAGGTTAACAGAGTGAAGGTGGAAGATTAACCCCTTAATTGGTATTATTTCAGAATAACATGTACGACGGATTAATAATAGAAGACGGGCAATAGGTTGGATTATTAGTGTGAATTTTTCCTATATTAAATCAAATTCACGATACGCTAAAATTTTCAAAAGTTAAGGAAAAATCACTTAGACTTGAATAGTTAATCTATTTAATTATATTAATACTTGAATATATGTATTAAAATGGTATATATAAAGAATACATTGATAATCTGTCGTTCATCTCAATCTAATATATATATATATATATATATATATATATATGTATATGTATATATATATTAAGATCAAAGAATTTATGATTTATTGTACACACATATGTTTGTTGAAGTATGTTGGGATATTGGCCCGGAAGCCCAATACCCGAATTAAAGGCCCAGGATATCCAGCCCAAACAACGAGTCCACTATCCTATGATAAGTAGGCCCAGTGAGATATTCATACCGAACGAGGTTCGGGCCAAACAAAGGCTGGCCCACAGAACAGACATACCGAAAGGGTTTCGGGTCATACATCATACTTGGGCCAAATCAACAATGTTTTACAGGGTCCATTATCCCGTTCGGGCAATGGACAACCAGCAGGTGGCCAGGTGCAATTATTGCCAGATTGCGACATCAGCAAGTGGAGGCACGTGTGATCAGGTCGGTGGAACATCGTCCAATCAGCATAAAGCGTCACATACTCTCCATTAGTAT